CTGGGTCATGCCCCAGAGCCACAGGGAGGTGCTCACCCAGGAGGACACACCAACCAGGTGCTTTGGCTGCCACTGCGACCCTGTAGGCGATGGTACAAACACCATCCCAGTGACACAATAGGAGCGCATCTGCCTGACCCCTGAGAGGTACGTGAAGACAAAGCAGCCCTTACAACACTGCCACGAAGGACATTCGTGGGCTCGGATTTCCAGAGTGCAGGAGTGCTGGTTGTCTCTGTGGAAGGTGATGGATGCTCAGTTTCCAGAAGCTTCCTGGAGACCACAGCAGGGACCAGGCTGGGCGTGGCTCCAGGAAGGTGTGGTTCTGGCAGCAGGGAGGTCAGGGGTCTGTGCTGCTCAAGGGGAAAAGCCCAGAGCATGAACCGAGGTTCTGGAAAAAGTGAGTGTTTGGAGCGATAGTTTGGAGCAGTGGTTTGGGGAAGTAGAGGCAGGAGCTGGCAGAGGCCAAGTGGGACAGGACCTGTACTATTGCCCAGCCCAGCAGAGCCTGAGGCTTGAAAGAGAAGGCTGACAGCAGCAGGAGGGCTCAGTAGAGCCAGTGAAGGGACCCAGGGAGGAGGATGTGGCAAGAGGAGAGCCAGCTGTGGTGGTGGGGGGCATGGGGTTGAGGTGTGCACTGTGCTCGGGGCTCCATCGTGGTCACTGCTCTTGGCCCACAGGATGTGAGGCACAGAGCCAGGGTCCAGGGGAGGGAGCAGGCCAGGAGGAAAGCCGGCTGCATGGGCGACATCTCAGGAAGCTGGGCCCAGAGAGGATGGAGGAGGCAGCTCTGCTATTTAGAGTCCTGTGAGATGACCATCCAGTCTTCCCAAGAACCAGGCCAGGTGTGGATAATAGAAAGTCAGCCCGGGGCTGCAGCTCAGTGGTAGCGCACTCGCTTGGCATGCTCCAGGCCCTGGGTGCAGTCGCATTCCAGAGAGACAGTGTTCCTACCCTCAGCTCTTTGAGAGGCTGAGGCAGGATGATTTCATGTCTGAGCTACACTTCACAGTGAACTACTTCTCCAACCTTTTAATTTATTTTTTATTTTGAGACAGGTTTTCACCAAGATGCCAAGTGGTCTGGGTTGGACTCGAATTTTCCATCCTTTTGCTTCAGCCTCCCAGAGGCTGCGCCTACAGGGGTGGGCTACCAGGTCATCAAGCCTCACGCTTGAGGATTTTGGGGTCTTTAGCTTTGCACACTGGCCTGACCCTCTTGGGCATTCCTTCCAGACTGGGGAATTCAGAAGTCTGCCCAGGAGTGTGTCTCAGGTTGGCAGAGGCAGCGAGGGCAGGCCACACTGAGGGTGGTCAATGGTGCGAGGGCTGTGGTTAGAGTGCTGCAGGGCTGCTTCGCAGTCTGCACAGCGCTCAGCGTGTAATCCCTGTGCTGAGAGGTGCCGGGCCTCGCCCACCAGTCCTGGCCTGTTGATGGCTGTCAGCCTTGCTCCTGCCAGTGCTCAGCCAAGCCCACGGGGCAGGTGTCATGCAGACCGCACATGATGCCCTGCTCCCCCTGGGTGAGTGTTGGGCAGGAGGGAGGCAGAGCCCTGTGTGGTGAGGGGGACACAAATCCTCCATTCTGTGCCCTCTGGTCTGTAACTATGCATAGAAATACGGGAGTGATGACAAAGAGCACATCACTTGCTCTTCCTCTTCACACTTCTGCCTTATGATTTGTGATGAAGTGGTCACCACACCCAGGAACCCTTTCCATGAGGGAGAAGGAGCAGATGTCACCCCATGTAGATTTAAGATCTAATGATATTTGGATAGGAGGAATTATGAAGAGGTAAATCCATGCCCGGAATATTTCCCTGAAAGGGAGATTGGGATGTGGACCTCTGCATGCTGACCGTGATGGGAGATGCCTGTGGCCTGGAATATGAATCGGGACCCAGACTTCAAGGTGTCTACACTCTGGTCACCTGTGTGTGTTTCTATCATAGAATATCAAACCCTAAGGCTCTTGAATTCAGAAACAACTGAAAACACCTGAGGGTTCTTTCCCAATCCTGGCCTTTCTTCTCAAGCTGACCGCAGCAAGTTCTGTAAGGTCCCAGGGTGAGAGAATCATGTCCGCATTTGCTCTGTCCTCCACACGGTGACCACAGCTACTGCTGGGGACAAAGCGTGTCAGAGGAACACTGGAGCCCAGGGTTGGTGATTCTGACCCTTCCGTCAGGGAAGTCCCCACCAGAGGTTCACATCTGGCTGACCTCACTGCCCTACAGGGGACACCAGGAAGCACAGGCTCTCCGGGCCCTGAGCAGGGGTACCATGGGGAGGGTTCTGAGGATGAATAGCGCTGTCCCTCTCTCTCTCACAGCTGGTCAGTGGTTGCTTCCAGGAGTGTCTCTAAGTCCTCTGCTCAGCTGCCACAAAGCTTCTCTCATCTGTGGGGTTGGGCAAAGGCGCTGATACCGCAGGATCTGATTCTGGAGGTGGCAGGGAGCTCCCATGCTGCTGCTTGCTTTTGTCATCTCATCACTGGGCATTCCTGTGACCCTGGACACTTCATTTCCTATTCACAGGCACTTTCTCGCCTGGGCAGGTGCAGTCCATCTCCTAGGAGTCAGATGAAGCTGACGGGGCAGATTCCAAACACGTTCTGATGAAAACCCAACAGCAGCATCGGTGCTCAGCGCCCCCTGCAGACCACGCCGGCTTCTGCACTTCGCCTCAACCACACCTGACTGAGCCCGTGCAGAATGGTGATGGTTCTGATCTGTGGCACATAACTGCCACACACAGCAAGGGGATGATGATGCCTCAGGGGACAGGCGAGGACAACCCTGCAGCACTGCAGCAGCGTTGTGGTTCCCACCTTGCATCAAAGCTTCCCAAGCAGTGCTATGTTATCACCGAGCAAACCACACCACACTCTCCCACTTCTCCTATTCATGGGGTTCACATTCGGATACCTCCCTAAGCACCACTTCGTCTCTTTCCTTGTAGTGCAGTGCTTTTTATTTTTATTTTTTTTTCATTTGCTCACCATCATGATTCAGAGCTGGTCAACAGTGCTGTTAGCAGTTTCAGTGTCTTCAGTGTTTGTGTATAACATACCAAAGAATGCGCACTCTCGAGTTGTCATGGTTAAGACTTTTATTGGATGGACTTCATTATACAACTCTTTGCAATACAGATGGTGCTGTTCCTAGCGTGCCTTTGTCTGTGTCCTGCTGCCTGTGAGCATATTTTTCTCCTGGGTGTATTCTGAGGAGTGAATGACAATGATCTCTCTCTCTCTCTCTCTCTCTCTCTCTCTCTCTCTCTCTCTCTCTCTCTCTCCCCCACATTATTCCCCTCTACTCCCTGAATTTATTGAGTCAGTTAATAAACCTGGCCTTGATTCAATGAAAATCATAAGTGACTATTACTTTGTCCCCATATGTTGTTGCTCATTTCTTTTGCCTCTCATTGGACCTGACGGGGCTTTGTAGCTTTATTTATTGAACTCCTGCCTCACACTCAGATAGGAATTGCAGTAGAGACAGCAGGGTACCCAGATACATGGTGAGCCACCAGAGAGAGGAGGTGAGGCTCCCCAGGCTCACTCCATATTAGTGATGCCACACTGCCACACAGAATAGGTGATGAACTATTCACACTACAGAAATGCGGTGCAAAATCCACACCTTTGCATGCCTGATGTGTCACAGAAGGCATAACCAGTGCAGCTCTGAGCATGTGCAATAAACACCAGTGTGCTAATTCCCATTCATTTCTAGGGAAATGGCCTGGGGCCAGCTCAGGAAACGTGGGTGTCTAAGGCAGCGTTTTGGATTTAACTGTGGATGCTGAAATCTAATTTCTGATTTGTACCTGTTGACTGTGCATCATGATGACATTTAATGTGCACTTCTTCACAGGTACGTAGCACATCTTCATTCTTTTTTGTCCCCTTCCCCTCTGAGGTCTGCTTGTTCCTTCCAAGTCTTGGTTGCTTTCTCACTGTCAAATGTTCTAGTTCAAATTTCTTACATTTCTCTTTTAACCCACAGCCTTAGCCTCTGCTCCCTCCTGGAATCTGATTTCTGCTCATTTGTTCTGTTGTTAAGACCAGATTCTGTTAGAACTGAAGAAACAGACTCAATGTTGGGCTCTAAGGAGTGGGATGATTGCAAAGAATGTGGGATTCATTACAGCAAAGTGCAGCAGACAGTGATGAGCGCAGACGTGCTCAGGGCCAAGGCAGGGCAGGCCGTCCACAGAAAGCCATTGAATGGAGACAGTTTTATGCACAGACCACCACAGACTTTCGACACTCCACACTTTCTCCTTCCTCAGCCTCCCAGTGGATGCATCACCGAACTTAAATTGAGGACTTTCTTCAGGAACCTCCTTGGCGTGCTGGGTTTCTGTCCAAGGCGCTGTCACTGTGAGCAACTCTAGGAGACCAACAAGTTGTGCTCCCTGGAGAAAGGAAGCTCGCTGCTTCCGATCTGTCCCTGACCTCTCCTTCTCCATGTCCACCAAGATGTGCGGCGCTGACTATCTTTTTTTTTTCCTTTTCAAAGTTTTATTGATAAACATATAGCAATGAGACAGTTTCAAATCAAATCGAAAGTATAGTTTCAACAAATAATACACTGCATATATTCTTCTTAGTGGTTAATTGCTGTACAAGATGCAGACTTGTGATCCTACTTACAAACACCATTAGAAAAAATCATTCTATTCATTAAGAGAATGCAACTATATATCTATCCCAACCACTTTGAATACACAGATACAAAATGGACATTCATAGTTATACCCCAATTTTTTTTAAGTTCCGTTGTTGAATATTATAGGTGTGTAAACTCAGCAAAATATTCTAAAAGAGTACAGAAGCCCATAATAGCATTGGGTCTTCTGTTTAATTGGCAATGTCAGAAATTATTGACGTGAGTCCCCCACAGCTCAACATAACAACATGGCTTTACTTCCTATATTTCATCTTCATACTTTTCTACTGGATGGTTAAGACCAAGGTAAAGCAGAACTGGCACTGACTATCTTGAAACAGATGTTCCCTTAGTCACCTAAAGAATGTTACTGAGTTTGTCTGAGACAGCAATAACTGCAAAGCAGCACCATGTGGGTGAGAGCAGCCTCTGTGTTGATGGTGGGAATGGAGGCTTGAGAAAGTGCCTGTGAGATTCCAGGCCTAAGACATAAGGTAACATCTCCGCAGAGACCTAGGGACTCAGAAATAATTATAATTTCCTGACAGTAGAGTTGCCTGCCTTGCACACACCAGACAATCCCTATGTTGATCATTTGAGACCTGATGCCTGGCTCAAAATTTCTCTGTTTCTCCTTCTAGCCATGCCTGCACACTTTGTGTTCCAAAGCACTCTGCCACAACCCACAGCCACATTCCTTTCCATGCCAAACATTCCATGAGCTTTTGGACATAAGGCCTTTGTCCCATAGAGGATATTGGACCATCCCAGAGCTTCTCAACTGCAGCACTTTCTCTCTGGTTCTTTGTTTTGCATCTGTGTGCCACATTGCCTGGGAGAGTACACTGACATGCCCCATGCAGGTTATGGTAAGCACTGATCGCTAGTTTTTGTGTTCATCTTCTGGCTGCCTCTTGGTCCCTCTCTGACCACGGTGAGTATAGAAAAGCAGAATCCCAAGGACCACCAACACCAGGCCAGCCAGGCCCATCCGGATGAGATTCTCCATGGTGTAATCATGAGGCTGTGAGGCTGGAGCTGTGGACAGAGCGATGACAGAGGTCAGGCCAGACTACGATCTGAGATTAATTCAGTTGAGATGAAGAAAACAGTTTAAAGTAGTAATGAAACAAAAAGCTGATTCATCGAATGATTAAATAAAATGGATAAGCCCCTAGCTACCCTCCTTAAAAAGAGGAAAGAAAAATGCAAATACAAGCAATGAGGAATGAAAAGGGGGTAAGTACCACAGAACTAGTGGAAATTCAGAAGATTGTTAACAGCTACGTTGAGAATCTTTACTCTCACAAAATAAAAGACACAGAAGAAATGGACAGATTCCTACAAAGTTACAAGTTACCAAAACTAAATCAAGAAGATATAAGTGCTCTCAGTAACCCAAAAACAACCAATGAAAGATGAAATGTAATAAAATACCTACCAACCAAGAAAAGGTCAGGTCCTGATGGATTCACAGCTGAATTCTACAAAAAATTTATAGAAGATATAATTCTTATACTCCTCAAACTCTTCAATGAAATTGAAAAGGAATTAATCCTCCCAAAATTGATCCTGGCGGCAAGTATTATACTGATACCAAAACCAGGGAAAGGCACAACAAGAAAGAGAACTATAGGACAATCTTACTCATGAATATATATGAAAAATCCTCAATAAAATCCTAGCAAATAGGATACAGCAAATCATCAAGAAGATCATACACCATGACCAGGTAGGATTCATCCCAGGGATGCAAGGATGGTTCAATATAAGCAAATCTATAAATGTAACATATTATTTCAATAGAAATCCAAAAACTACATGATCATCTCAATTGATGCAGAAAAGGCTTTTGACAATGTCCAACACTTATTCATTTTCAGAATCCTACAGAAAATTGGAATACATGGCCTATACTTCAATTTGAGAAAAGCTATCTGTTACAACACAACATCTAACATAATTCTGAAAGGGACAAAGCTGAACGCTTCCACTTTCAGACATGGTATAAGACAAGGATGTCCTCTATCCTCATGCCTATTGAACATAGTTCTGGAATGATTAGCTAGAGCCATTAGACAAAAGAGAGAAATAAAGGAATAAGAATAGGTAAAGAAGTACTGAAATTATCATTATCTGCAGATAACATGATACTTTACTTGGAAGACCCAAAAAACTCCACCAAGAAGCTTCTAGAATTGATACAGAAATTCAGTAGCATAGCAGGATACAAAGTCAGTACCCAAAAGTCAATAGAATTCCTCTACACAGAAAACAAACACACTGAGAGGGAAATTAGAGAAACAATGCCTTTCTCAATAGCACCGAGGAAAATGAAATACCTTGGAATTCACTTAACCAAAGCAGTCAAAGACCTTTTCACAAAAAATTAAAGTACTCTGAAAAAAGAGATCGGAAAGGATTTCAGAAAATGGAAAGATATTCCCTCCTCCTGAATAGGAAGAACCAACATCGTGAAGATGACCATACTCCCAAAATTGCTGTACAGGTTTAATACAATCCCTATCAAACTACCACAAAATGCAAATTAAAACAAGACTGAGATATGATGTCACCCCATAAAGAATGACTGTCATAAAGAAATCAACCAATAGCAATTGTTCAGAGAATGGGGAAAAAAGAACTTTCTCCACTGCTGGTGGGAATGTAGATTGGTGCAACCATTATAGAAATCACTCTGGGGACTCCTTAAAAAACTAGGACTGAAAATCCCATTTAAACCAGCTACTCCCCTTCTGTGAATTTTCCCAGAGGAACTGAAAACCTCATTTCATAGTGTTATATGTGCATGTCATTTTATATTTCAGAAGCCATTGATTCCTTGCATTCAGCTGTGTGATTCCCTATTTGTTCTGTGTTAGTGTCCTCTGCACTTGTTACGGGTGGGCTTGGGTTCTGAGGTTGCATTTTGTTCCTTCTCATCATTTTGTGTAGCACTGTCTTCTGACCTTTGTTGTAGATCTTCGTTGCAGTTATAACCTTAGCACGTACTGAAGTTCAGGTGCAGATCTACAAAGTTTGGATTTATCCAGCTGTGTCTGGCTTGGGTCTGGCTGCTGTGCTCAGCTCCTTCCTGCTGCTTCCCGTGGGGGTGAACCTATTTGCCCCTCTGGCAAGATGTTTTGCTCCTAGACTAGCTGGGTGGATCTATCCTCTACACTCTCTGCAGTGATTGCAGCTGCAGGGTTTCACCCCATGCCTGTATGCCAGGACTGAGCTGAGCCTGGACGGGACAAGGTGGAGTAGAGGGGAGAGGCAACTCTCCCACACACTCACTGGGCCTGGGCTAGGACTGGATCTGGGGGTTCCCGGAATGTGGCAGAAATTCCTACTCAGTGGGTGGGGTGGGGGAGGTGCTGCGGAGTGGTGGGGGGCGTCCCAAGGGGGTGGAAGATGGTCTCACCCCCGCTGCACCTGGGCTGGGACCAGTAATAGGTCCTGCAGGTGCAGAGTAGCAGGAAGCTCTCCCACACACTCACCGGGCCTGGGCTAGGACTGGGTCTGAGGGTTCCTGAAAGCGGCAGAAGTTTCTACTCGGCGGAGCAGGGTAAGGGAGGTGCTCAGAGTGGTGAGGGGTGTTCCAAGGGGGTGGAAGAGGGTCTCACCCACACTGTACCTGGGCTGGAACAAGTAGGTCCCACTGGTGCAGGGTAACCGGAAGCTCTCCCACACACTCACCGGGCCTGGGCTAGGACTGGGTCTGTGAGTTCCCGGAACGCAGCAGAAATTCCTACCCTGTGTGCGGGGTGTGTGGGGGTACTACGGATTGATGGGGGGCGTCCAAAAGGGGTGGAAGAGTGTTTCACCCACGCTGCACCTGGGCTGGAACCAGTAGTAGGTCTCGCCAGTGCAAGGGCAGCCGGAAGCTCTCCTCCACACTCACTAGGCCTGGGCTAGGACTGGGTCTGGGGATTCCCGGAAGGCGGCAGAAATTCCTACCCTGTCTGTGGGTACTACGGATTGATGGGGGGCGTCCCAAGGGGGTGGAAGAGGGTTTCACCCACGCTGCGCCGGGGCTGGGACCAGTAGTAGGTCCCGCCAGCGCAAGGGTAGCCGGAAGCTCTCCCACATACTCTGCATGTCATTTTATAGCATCACTATTTATGATAGCCAAATCTTGGAAACTACCAAAGTGCACATCATCCAAGGGATGGATGAGAAACATATATTTTTATAAAGTGGAGTATTACCAGCTATAAATGATGATAAGCTCGAAGGCTTTATATTTAAGTGAATGCCACTTGAAGATATACTCAAAAGTGAAATAATCCAGACCCACATGCATAAATATCATACAGTCTCCCTACTTTAAGAAACTCAAAAGAAGAAGTAAAAATAGAAATTTTATAACACAATTAAAAGCAAAGTGAGAACTTAAGGATTAGACAACGAAGACAGGGCAAGAAGAAAAGCTAGGAGACATAATAGCGTAAAAGCCAAACATTTATACACAGAAGATGGTTAAGGCAGTGATCCTGAGAATGTTCAGTAGGTTTTTCAGACTAGCAGTTAATTGGTAAGATTCTCCCCATGACTAAGTTATATGCTGAAACCTGTGAACTGAGCAACGGCACTGAAGATGGCAATGTGTAACAGGACGGTCACCCTGTCATTCTGGACTTCTAAATACATAGTGCTTGTCATGCTATACTAAAACCATACCAATTACTTCCATATAGCTTCTCAGGTAAATATTTGTTTTAAAAAAAGAAGAATAAATGAAAACAAGAGAGACAAAAAAATCACAGGACAGTCCTGGTACAATGATGTATATGGTTAGATTTCTAAATTTCTGTGAAAAAATATGTACTTGTTTATTCCTATTTTTAAAAACAGTTATGTATTCAAAATTTTTGTTTCTTCATATTCTGTCAGGACTTAAATTTTGATATATCAATACTTAATGGAAAATACCTGTTCCATGTTATTCTAAGATGTTTGGTATTCAGACAGTGAGGTTAAGCTCAACTGTCCATGTTGTAGGATCATAATGTTAAGATTCTCTTCTGGAAGGTTAACAACTTAAGTTTGCAGAACAAAAACTAGAGAAAAAAAAGGGCTGCAAGGACAGCCAACATTTTGATCATAGCCTTTCAAGGTCAGTAAGACGCAGAACGTAGGAGAGCCTGTACTATAACGTTGTGTAGCTCAGTTGTATCCCAGATTTACTGATCATTGACATTATGGTGCCACCGAGGAAAGCGATTGGTGATATAGAGTGTGCCTAAGGAGTGTCAAATGGAGAGAAAACATTCTCTCAGGCTTTCACAGAGAGCAAATTGATCAAGCAGTAGCTGTGACTCATTCTCATGGCTGACACTGGCAAAGGATCTAGAAAATGCGGTACAGGGTTTCAGGATAAATCCTGAGGGGATTTGACTGACCTTTTCAGATACAAAAGTTGCATTTCTTGTTATATAGGTCTTGATTTATGTTGGTCTTAACCATCCATCAGAAAAGTATAAAAATGAGGTATAAAAAATTAAGCCATATTAATATGGTGAGCTGCAAAAGGCTGAGGTCAACAACTTCTGACATTACAAGTCCTATGGATAACCCACTAGTATTATGTACTACTGGACTATGTTGGAATATTTTGCTGAATTCAAGCACATATAATAATGAAATGGCAATGTAATACTCATGTTTTACAAAACTAAAAAAAAGGGGATAGAAATGAATGAACATTTTGTATCTGTATATGCAAAATAGTTAGGATAGATATACAGCTACTTTCTCTTAATTCAATGAAGAGAAATATTTGTGCTATTAGTGATTGTTGAGAAGATATTATGTCTGCATCTCGTACTACGAATAACCTCTAAGAACACAGCAATATGCAATGTATTAATTATTGACACTGTCCCACTAATCTGTTTTGAAACTGTTTCATTGCTATTTGTTTTTGAATTATTAACAAAATTTAAAAAATAAAATGAAGGAAAGACAAGAAAACAAAATGAAAGGCAACTAGAAGTCAAGCTCGTGTCCATCCGCCATCTGACTTTCACTGTGTAAGGGAGTTCATCTAATCCCTTCAGTCAAGCTCTTCCAAGTTCTACAGCAATTGACATCTTGAAGAGAAATTTAAAAAAAATGTAACCCCATGGTGAATTGAGCAGCTACTTTATTCAAAGGGAAAACAATCCAAAATATTTTCAAAAAAACTTCAGTGTTTGGCAATAAAAAGGCAACAATGAGGCAAAAAAACTAGATATGGACTCAAAGAAATATTTATGTGGTTGAAGTTATATCACTTCCTTCAATCATAAGACAGATACGCATCCTTTTGCTGATGATGTGTAAATTTATCTTAGGAGTTGTAAGCCAGACCACAATCTTAATGACAAAAATAAGTCTATTATCTTTTTCTAAGCTGACTGGAGATTCCCAGGTAAAAAATGAATTTCTGATGTGTGAATAGTATTCACAATATCAAGGTATGAAGAATTTTATTTCATTATGAAAAAGAAAATTGGTAGGATTCTCACCCCAAGTAAGAATACATGCTGATACCTGTGAACTAAGGAGCTGAACTGAAGATAGCAATGTGTAATACTAGGGTCATGCTTGGAATGCCTGTCATTCTGGTCTTCTAAATACGTACTTCAGATACATTAAAAGAAACCACCCCCCAAAAACTGTACATCTGTAAATATATTTTCACAGAAAAGTATCTCTTTACACTTGAAAAGAGAGCAGCAGCACATGAGTGTAAACATGAACTGCAATGAATCAAGGAGGATTGCAGAGCTTGAAGAGCCCCCAGGGACCAGGAACATTTCTCTGCCCATCCTCAGTCTCCGGGGACCACCATGGGGCACAGGAAGGGCCATGCCCGGTGGTATCCAGAGCCTGGTGCTCAACCACGCAGAGTCGGACCCCAGCAAGGCTGCTTTCAGCCCACCAAGACCCTCATCCTGTCTAGACCTCAGACACTCCTACTCCTTTGACCAAGGGCAGCAATCACTCAGTCCTCAGAGCCTAGGAAGCCATCAGGTTGTCTAATGTTCTCTTTCTACTCCACTTCAGACTGACCCTGCCCTGAGGAGTGTAAACAGTGCCATAATGTGCTGAACTCCCATGGGTCAGTGGAAAGTGTCTCCATTGCCCATGTTACAGGACATATTTTGGAGGTGCTGGGACAGCAGAGGAGCTGGTTGTGAGTTGGGGTCATCAGAGGTGAGGGATGGGCCTGTCTTCTACCTCAGTGCAGCCCCACTTCCTCTGATCTCACCTGTGTCTCCTGTATCTTTCCCTGTCCATTGTCCCAGCCATCAGGACCTGCCCCCCACAATTCCCAGATCTCAGTTCACAGTCCTGGTGGAGAACTCTGCCAATGCTGTAGATCTTGAGACATGAGAGAGGGGAGGACTGGATGGGCCTCCTGCATACAGAAGGAAAGTGTCCACAGCCCTCTGGTCTACCCAGAAGAGTCCTTGTCTTCCCTTGAAGGGAACAAGGGTCTGGTATGAAGAGAGGGTGAGGCTTGGTTCCAGGGCCCTGGGGGAAGCTTGTGAGAGCCAAGCCAGGGGCTGCTGGCCAGGGCACTGGGGGAGGTCACCTGCCCCTCTTTGGAGAGAGTGTCTATCATAGGTAAGGTGAGAAGAGTGCTGCAGTGTCAGGTTTTGTCCAGGGCCTACAATAGGACCCTTCTGGGTCAGGAGGTAGAGTTCATGGACAGCCTGGAATGGGAGGAGCTGGACTAAGGGGATGATCCTGCCATAGCCCTGCCCTCCTGTCCTGTTGTGAGTCTCCCTGATAATTACACTGAGGTTTCTAGCTTTGTAGATGTTGTAACCCAGCCACCTACTGGGGATTATTTTAATAGGACTCTGTCAGTTATTTAGGAATTCCAACATGAGGGGGTTAAAGAAAGGACTTCCTCACCTGAGACTAGAAGCTCCACGGCAGCACTAGGTTCTGACCACATCTGGGGTTTTCGACTGTAACAGCCATAGCACCTGAATATCCACCTCTGCCTGGGGATCACTGGTCCGACTTGGAACAAGGCCTGGAACTTCCCTCTGGGGTCTTGCTCTGATTTCAGTGTCAAGAGCTCATCTCGTCCTTCCATAGACAGAACGAACCTGTCAAAATCCAGCTGTGACTTACACTGGAGGGTGACATTACATCCTGAAGTCACCACAGGACCAGGCAGGGCTGAGAGGCTGGGCTTGCTGTAGAGCCCTAGAAGAGAAGGAGGCAGCATGAGAAAGGGACTCACACCTCCCACCACAGTGTTCCTAGCGCTGGGCTCTTAGAGAGAGAGAGAGACACCCCTGAGGGCAAACCCCTTCCTGAGGGCGGAGCCTGGGCTGAGACCCCAAATGTCCTCTCACCTGTCATCGCCAGCTCTAGGGGTTCACTGTGCTGTGACCAGCCAGGAGAGCTGTGATAGTAACAGCGATACTGCCCTGTATCATCTTCTGTCATGGATGAGATGGAGAAGTTGGCCTTGTTCCTGGGCTCAGGAGACATCTGTATGTCTGAGAGTGGGGGGCTGCCCTCTCTGTACAGATGGTATTCCAGGGCCTCCAGGGTCCCCTCACACCACAGCGTCACAGGACTCCCCCAGGGTATCACAGAGCCAGGCTGAGCCTTGAGCTTGGGTTTTGGGGTGGTCGCTGCAGGAAGGAGATGAACAGGAGGAAGTGCATCCTGACTGCACAGTGAGCGCTGCATGCAAGACGGCACTAAGGCTGGCCTGGGATGGGCAGAAGATACTCGAGAAGCCGCCTGCACACACAGCTTCCTCTGCAACCTCTGACTTGTGCTTTCCCTTCCCATTCTGGTCCCCATGTCTCTGGTTTCACTGTCCCCTAAACCCTGTCACTGAGTTCACCATTTTTGGGCCCCTCACCCATCTCACCCCTAGAAGGCGCCAAGGTCTGTGGGTCAGGACCTCAGTCATGACAGGAAAAGGCTGCGGTATGCTCACGTGAGAACAGGAGCTCCAGGGCTTCACTGGGCTCTGACCACAGCTGGGGCTGGCTCCAGTAGTAGCCGTAGCACCTGAACGTCCATCTCTGCCTGGGGCTCACAGGGCCCACACGGAGCTGGGCCTGGACCTGCCCACTGGGGTCTTGCTGTGACTTCAGTGTCCAGGAAAGCTTGTCCCCTCCTTCCTTAGTCAGGATGAACCTGTCAAATCTCAACTCTGACCCACACTGGAGGGTGACATTTCCTCCTGGGGTCACCACAGGGCTGGTCAGGGCTGAGAAGCGGGGTTTTCTGTAGACTCCTAGGAGAGACAGAGACAGCATGTGAAATGGGCTCACTCTTCTCACTGTCCCCGGTCTGAGCTTTGAGATAGTGACACCCTTAGATCAGACACCTTCCTGAGGGAAGAGCCTGGGACTGGGACCTTGAGTGTCCTCTTACCTGTTACCACGAGTTCCAGTGGGTCACTCAACACTGACGAGCCAGCAGGGGTTGGGTAGTAACAGCGATGCTGCCCTGCATGCTGCTCTGTCACGGATGGGATGGAGAACTTGGCTGTGTCCCTGAGTTCCAGTGATGTTTTTCTTGTCCACGGCACTTGGCTTCCTTCTTTGTACAGACCATATTCCTGGGCTCCCAGAGAGCCCACACACCAGAGGCTCACAGGCTCCCCCCGTGCTATCACAGATCCTGGCACAGCCCAGAGCTTGGGTTTGGGGAGGGTTGCTGCAGGGAAATCAGAGCTGTGTCCCAATACATTTGTTTTTCTGTCAGATCCCAAGTCTGAGTCCCACAACACTCCAGCCCTCCCAGCAACAGTCCATCCCTGTTGTGTTCCATCCCTATTTCCAAGTGGTAGCTCCTTATATCCAGAAGGAGGAGGAGGAGGTGGAAGAAGAGGAGGAGAAAGAGGAGGAGAGGAGGATGAGGAGGAGCAGGAGGAGGAGAGGAGGAAGAGAGGAGGAGGGATTTGGGACAGCTGGGGACACACTCACCTGCCTGCACTTGGGTCCTGGGTTGAAGTCCTAGCCCTAGAAGAGAGTTACCCGTGAAAGTTTCTTCCTAGAGACTGAGCAGGCGCTCTGCTCTCTGGAGCCTCCTGAGCCCCTGGTTTCCTGGTGGGCCAGGGCATGGCTGTGGGGCTCCAGATTTTGGGTTCCCACAGTTAGTGCTCACCAATACAGAGCAGGGCTGTAAGTATGCCTGTCATGGTGTCTCCAACCTCCAGGTGACACTGTGCAGAGATAACACCACAGTGCCTACCAGGGTTTCACACCTAGGGATTGTTGTCTGCCCTTCACGGGTGGCCACGCCTGGAGGTTCGCAGGAAGTAGAACTGACATCCAATGACATCTGGACTGTTTTTGTCCAGGGTGAAACCTGGCTGGGTTTCCTGCTTATATGAAATTCCCCTGCTTTCCTAGTGCTCCTGATTTCTGCTTTGCTTATCGATTCTTAGATACAGCAGCCAATAGACCTGGAGCCCTCTTGAGCTGGCCCCTCCCATTGCCCTGGCTGGTCCTTTCTCTCACAGTCCCCCACAAGTCTCTTCCCTTCTTAGCCCACCCATCTGCATAGCACAGCAGTCCTCACCATGGGAGTCCCCACCATGGAGATATTCCAGGAAGTTGCAGGTGCCTGCTGCAGGTGTGAGATCAGAGACAAGCTACACCCTGCCTGGGGAAAGCTCCATGAAGGGTCAGGAAGGAGACATGCCCTCAACACAGGACTGCTTGCAGGGCTTTAGGGAAACTCAGTGATTAGGAAGCAGTATGACAGAAACTATCCAGGATGAAAACAGTCAGTTATATTGATGTAACAGAAAGTCAACTGTTGCACATGTAAACTAAGTTCACTTGCATTTTCTAGATTCTTAGAGTCCCTTGATAAGTTGTGTTTTGAAATCTTTAATTTTTAAAACAAATTTGTAAATATAAATTTCAGACTATAATGTTTTTTCTCACTAATTGTATATATATATATATATATATATATATATATATATATTTGGAACAGGGTTTGGCAAGTGCTCTCTCAGAGACCTCAACTCCAGCTGTTCCGCACTTCACTTCCACACTAGAGCTCATGTGTTTAACACACTGCAGCCTGGTGCAGCAGTATTCTCTACTTCCTCACGCACTTATCTCCACCCAGGAGTCCTGCAGTGTGAAATGCTTTCAAGCTGCTGGGTTTTGCTTGCCACTTTGTTTGTGTGGTCTTGTTGATCACACCCAGGGCCTCAGCAGGTGCCATACACTAAGCAACGCCCCGCCCTGTGCTGTGTTCAGTACCTTGGTCTGAAAATGAAGGCCTCCTTCAGTACTCTGTAAGGTCGATTTGTTAGGTAGGCGAGTTAGCTTTTTGTCCGTGTGATCATGTGTCTGTAAAGTCTTACATGAAGAGAGGTTGGTTTTACCTCTCTGCTCCAGGGATTGCAGGGCACAGTCACCCAGATCCTCTGCTTTTAGGGCCATGGTGACACAGACAGCATAGCAAAGGTCAGCAAAAGATGCAAAGATGTTTGGGAAAGAGATAGAGATGGAAGGAGGGAGGGAGGAAGGGAAGGAGAGAGAGAGAGAGGGAATTATCCATGCTTTCATTTTTTAATATTTATTTTAAAGAGAACACAAAAATGGTACCATAATTTGAAGTGATGCAGAATTTCACTAAACAGAATGATAGGAGTTTAAAAAACAGTTGTCACCTTGCATATTGCTGTCTTCAATTTAGATGTTCAGTGTACCAGATAGAAGTCTGTAAAACTGATAAAAAATAGTGTAAAAAGTTAAAAATGAGAGAAAGAAAAAATTCAAGCATTAATTGCTCCTTTCTATAGACCAGTGGAAATCAGAACAATTAGCTATGCTATCCTGTGTCTATCATTTCCCTCCCTGCTATCCTGTGTCTGTCATTTCCCTGCCTGCTGCCCCGTGTCTATCATTTCCCTCCCTGCTGTCTCGTGTCTATCATTTCCCTGCCTGCTGTCCCGTGTCTATCATTTCCCTGCCTGCTGTCCCGTGTCTATCATTTCCCTGCCTGCTGTCCCGTGTCTATCATTTCCCTGCCTGCTGTCCCGTGTCTGTCATTTCCCTGCCTGCTGTCCCGTGTCTGTCATTTCCCTCCCTGCTGTCCCGTGTCT